GGTGTTTCTCAAGGTTCTTAGTGCTCCTTTGTTTTTAATCTACGTTAACCTAACCAATTCTGTTCATTAGAATTGGTTAGGTTAACTAGGTGCAGAAACTAAATTTGAAAAAAAATGAGTTGTAAAACAGAAATTTCTGAAGTTCATTACGCCCCCCCCCCCTTTATCTAACCGCTTCCCCAGTAGCCTCTGATTCTGATTCTGCTCATTCATTTGTGACCAGTATAAAACCTGAACTATTTAATCTAAGTTTTTTGAAGCCTGGATCATAATATAGTTTTTTTTTGAAGCCTGGATCATAATATAGTTTTTTTTTTTAATTTAAAGTTCTTTTATATTTCTACTATCTCATAATGAAAAAAATTTAAGTATTTTTTTGTGAACCTATTCTGAGATGTAACGAAATAATGAATAAGAGTAAGAAAAAAAGGAACCTCTTAAACGGAAGGTTTTTTCTTAAACAGAAAAGTAACTTAAAAAAGGATTTTTTAACAAAATATAACGTTGTTAACTAGCTGCACTCAAATAAAATTTACCGAAGATTTTTTTTTTAAGAAAATTAATAAATGCTTAGCAATTTTACATCCAAAAATCAAAGATATGCAGACATCACCTTAAAAAATAAATATTTAACAAAAAGATGCTAGGAGCTCAATACACCCTAAAATTAGCCTAAAATAGGGTAAATGAATCTATCTCATACAACCAATAATGACAAATTAAAAAATTTGTTTTCTTTTTTAAACATCATAATGGAGCATTGTCTTTTGCTTTCTTGAGTAAATTTTATAATGAGATTTCCGTTGTCTTTGTCTTTTTTCTTAACTTCCAAATCATTTTTATAAAAACAAGTCTTCTTGATCAATTAATGTAAGCAATTAATGTAGAGCTAGAAAAATAAAACTGTGTTTGGTGCGTTTGCTGGTAAGTTTGTTTCTAAGTTATGATCAGACGTTATTAAAGATGCATTAATCTAATTACATTAATCCAGATCACTGTGAACTTCATGTCTAATTTTATTCAATTTCTATAAAGCCAATTATAGTTCTTTCAACAAAGCTTAAAAAATATAAACTGGTACAAGTTGCTGTCCAGCAACATCATGATGTTGAATTATTCTGGCAAGCTATACATGTCATTTTTAACTTAAGTATTTTTATCACACGTTTCAGCTTCCATAAAATGAACTTTTTAACTATCCTCAATTTTTATTTTGGCACCCAAAAAACGTAATCTATACCAAATGTGAAAATTGCTCACGTAAATACGATGCCAAAATAATAAAAAGCGCTATTAATAAGGAAAAAGATATTGTCAATAAAAAAAATATCAAACAGTTTTACTCTTTTGTCAAGTTTGAGTTCCATAATCTGGCAATTCGTTCTAAAATTCTAAAAGTTCTCATGGTTTTCTTTATTTAGAAAATTGTAAAAAATTTTGAACAACTTTTTTGCTTCTGTCCAACGGTGTTAGACTGCTGTTAGATATTCCATTTTATCAAAACTTTTTAAGTAACGCATTAATTCCAGATGATTCTGTTGTTTCATCGCTACAAAAACTCCCAGCAAATCATTTTAAATTTCTGCATAATTACTTTGTCATATCTTAAAAATAAATTGCGTCTTTCAATTTCGTTTGAATTGTCCATAATCTCAAATAATAAATTGAAAATTTGGAAATCAGCTATAAATAAGTCCAATTTAAAAAAAAATCTGTAACTCATCCTAAACGGTTCAAATTGCAACACAATGGTATTAAATACAAACTATTTAGTTGTATTAAAAACTTTTTAACTAATCACTTTCAGTGTGTGTATGTGTGTGTGTGTGTGTGTGTGTGTGTGTGTGTGTGTGTGTGTCTGTGTGTGCGCGCGTATGTGTATACGTATGTTAGTATCTCATATTTCAAAAACATTCAAGATAAGAGTGGAATACCACAAGGAACTGTACTATGACCAATATAGTTTTTAATTTTTGTTAATGACGTAATATTTTGCATAGATGGAGATTGTGGCGTTAAGCTGTTTACAGATGATATCAAGTTGTACCAATTGAGAAATGATTAAAACAACATTCATCTTGTAAATACTTTGAAAAAATTTATCTTTTTAATGATTAGCATCTCGAAATAGCCATCAATATATGTTTTTTTTAATGCAATGAAAGATATTTTTCACCAGTTTATTCTTATTCATTAAGCACCGTTACTAATATTAAAGCTGTTTATTTAATTCAGTATATTGAAATCACCATGTTTTCTAATACAAAGTTCTATAATCACAGGCGCGGATGCAGCATTTTTGGATCAAAAAAGCTTTAAAATTTTAGCTACATCTGCCTCAAACGTAAGAGCAACAAGTTGATAAATACTTTTTTTACTATTCTAAACTAAATTTGTATTTATCGAAAAATTTTAAAACTAATGCAATAATTTTTTAATTATTTAAAAAAAAAAATTTGAACCCCAATTTGACCCCATTTTCATTTGACCCCAAGTTTGAACCCCACTTTGACCAACCATTTTGAAGGGGTTACAAATTTTAAAAGGTCATAATTGTTGAACGCTAAGAAGTTATTTTACAAAATTAAAAATTTATCGATAAATATAAATTTGGATAAAAATAGTAAAAACTTGTTGCTCTCACGTTTGGAGCAGGTGTAGTTAAAATTTTAGGGATTTTTAATTTCACGCTTCAATCATAGCAATTTTTTCAAATTATCCTTATTTGATATAATTATAAACATATAAATATTAGGAGTTTTATCCATGCCTGGAAGTCATCCTATCAATGGATCTTAAACATCAATAAATGGTGCATCCGAACCTGAATCAATGCCCTCGTATTTAAATATAGCATACTCTCCAATTTTTAAAATTCTTTGTCAATATTTCTCAACTTTTGTTAACTACGCATAAAGTTTATGTCTGGCCTAAACTATAATTTTTTACTCCAGTTTGGAGCCCTCGCTTTTTCAAAGATTGATCAGCCGTCGAGATCCGTGGTTCAACGCCACATCTGGCTAGTTTTATAACATTAGTAAGAGAGGAGAACTTCCTTTTAAATGCTCTTCCGCGGTGCTCTGTGATAAGACCGTAAGGATTTCTTGGGGCACCTAAAATAAAAATAAAAAAAACAAAAAAAAAACAACAAAGATATAAGTTTCATAGAGTCCTAAATATCTTGCCAGAATTGTCTGCAAAAGATTTCATATTTCATATACTGATTACTTATCAAAACTTATTGCCTTCCAACTCAAATGCTATCGCATAGTTAAATTTGATCTTTTAATGATTCATAAAATAGAAATTACTAAAAGATGTAATTTATTAAAATTATTAATAGAAATTATTAAAAGATGCAATTTATAAAATCAATAAAATCTTGTTAATTTTCTGTTGTTTTTTTTTTTACTTTTTCTAACTTAAAATATTTTACAAGATAACAATCACAAAAATTTACTTCAAGTAATAAATACACTAATGATACAAAATGAGTTTTTTACAGTGAACGATTTGCCAAAGTAAGAAACTCACTTCCTGGCCACATAATGACAATGACATTGGAGTTCAAACTTGATAAATTCGATTTACAATGTCATTGTGCAGTTTATTAACTTAGTTTCTTTACACTTACTCTAATTAGAGTTTTTATTATTATTATTATTGGTTTTACATAAAAGTAATTTAGTAATTACCTGTCTAACCATTTTGTGTTTTGATCATTTTTCATAATTTTTAAATAAATAAAATCATTAATAAAATAACTCCCCGATTATAATAACATCGTTTTGTTTCATACAGGGCCGTGCGAGGGAATGGGTGGCGTAGGGAGTGTCTAGCCCTCGTAGTAAATAAATTTTTTGGCAAATTTGGTCACTGGAGTCGGCAAAATTGGATTTGTAGTTGGCAGTCGGCAAATGTTAGCGAACGAGAACCTTTTTTTTTTATATATATAAAGATCAAAAAAGACAAATTTTTTTTAATTAAAAAAAAAAAAAAATTTCTCGACCTTACTCAGTAAAAAACAGATAGTCACCTTCCCCCTACCTTTAAGATCTCTTCGGGGCGGCCCTGGTTCGAAACCAAAAGTTTCTTGACAGCCAGTCATTATAAACAATATCAAATATGAAACCTTTGCAACAAGTTGAACTGACAGAAGTTTTGATATCTCTACTAGCAGAGATATCAAAACTTCTGTAAGCCTTTTATAATAACAGCCTTTCATAATAACAGGCTTTGTAGTACAAAGCCAGTTATTACGAAAGGCTCTGAATTTTTGGAGAATTCGTGCATTTGTAGGTACTAGACTCCTAGATGCATGGTCCCCATAACCGCGTTTCTGCATGGTCCGCATATGCGAGTATAACTTATTTATGTAACTTCATGTGTAGTTAGTTACATTGGCTTAGGGATCTTTTTATACACGTACATCAAGCTCTGTATGAGTGGAGTAGTATAAAAGTATACAATAATAAAGAGTTAAATTTAGATTTAGCTAAACTATTGTGTGCTTTACCCAAACTTATATTGTATAAAATTGCTTTGCTATAAATTTTTGTCTCTATTTAAACCTCAAATATTTATTACTTATACTGTAAATAAATTACATTATTGATATTAAACTTGTTTTCTGTTCTATAAAACATATAACTCTACAAAGAATTTGTTAGTTTTACTTATTTTAATTTCTAAAAGCTTATACTTGCTTTTACATAATTTTTAGCTCATTTACAATCATTTATAATCATAATAATCGGCTAATATAATAAATCGGTTTTTAGCCCATTGTAAATGAGCTAAAAATTATTAGTTTTTTACTATTAAATTAATGAAGTAATATTATGTAGATTGACTAAAAAGAGCTTTTAATTAATTAGTAAAACTAGTATATAATAAAATATATAGATAGTTAGTTTGCATAAATAAAATTAGAATTTGTATGTTCTGGCATTTTTCTTTTGTATGAAAAATAAAAGTAAATAATTACAAAATATAAGTTAATTCAGTAAGTTTATGAATATATAAAATATATTCATCAGCTATTACAAAAGTATGAAAATATTCAAATGTTTTGAAAAATATGTCTTCTCTCTAGATTACTTAAGCATCACTTAATAACAGTTAGCAAAATGACAAGATCAAAAAATAATGCACGAAAGTAAGTATGTTTTACATTTAGATAGTAAAATCTTGTGTAATGTACTTTTACATTAGAGCAATTTCACCTAGCCAAATTTTTTAAAAATAAAAATTGGATGGGTGTGGAAGATTTTATATGTGAAACCAACACATTTTTATAAAAAATAGTTTAAAAAAGATGTATAACAGATTCATTTTTGAAACCATAAACTAGCTTAGGCGCTTCCATTACAGACTTTACAGCACGTTTAACTTATTGAGAGTTGTTTAAAAGATGTGTAAATGGCAATATCTCTCCAGATTCTTTTGTGTTCCTTAGATCAGCAGATGAAAAACTAATTGTTCCTCTAATTTGATATACTTGTGCTATATCATTCAAACATTTTAAATCTTAGTAATTGCTTTAGGTTTAATCTTAAAGGCAAATTTTTTGTTTTCCTTATTTTTATTTATTGAACACAGTTTATTAAGTTGTATTATTTAGAGATTTTAATGGGGGGTTGACATATCCAGGCCTCAGCGGGAGGAAATGAGCGCAAGAGCAGAGAAAAGCTCTCCTATAACCAACATGGCGAGCCATGCGAGCTGCTCCTCTAAACTACCCTCAGTAGTAGAGGCCTGCATATCTGTTTTTTGCGAAATATAAGTCAAAAAAAAATTTTGAAAACATCAAAATATTTTATGCAGAGTTGAAACTATAATCATATTACAAACCAAATAAATATTTTTGCATAGAGATGATCACCTTTTTCTAGTTTTTTATCAATTTATTAAATTTGCTTATTAGTTTTTAAGAAAACAAAGTTCAAGTAAGGATTTAAAGTTACATTTGCATTAAAGGTAACTTTGAATACTGTTAAACTGAATGTTATTTTTTATTTTTATTTTAAAAATTTGTTTAAATTTCTTTGCATTGCTTTAAAATAATTTTAAAATACATGCAAGAATATTTTGACAATAAGTATATAAGTTATTTAATAAAACAATGCAAATCACTAAATAAACTTGTTCATCAAATTTTAAGGTTATGAAAGAAAAAGTTTTAAAGACATATATAATTCTCTACTCAAAAACATCATTTACTATTTAAAAAAAATTACACTGTTTAAGGGTTTACAAAAAATCAAAGTTATAATATCTGAATGTGGCGGGATAGCTCAGATGGTTAGAGCGTTAAAGGAAAATTTAAAACCCGGACTGTTGAACAATACGAGTTCAAATCCCGCAACCGCCAACTCAGCGCTTGAATAGTACTTCGGTACGCAAAAATGTTGGTCAATAACGGACGCTACTTTGGATTAGTCTTAATGACTATTTGTGGCTGTTCCTATGCTAAGCCAACAATATCTTTGGATATAAAAACATTGTATAGAAAAATATAGCATGAAAACTCAAATAAAAAATAAATAAAAAAAGAATGTAAACAAAATTAATAGATTAAAAAATATATTTTTAAATGACAATCCTGCACACATTTCCTTGAAAAACTATAAGGCAAATTTTCTTTCAACAAAGGATATCTAAAAATATAAAGATAATTGCTATTATTAATAGAAAGTTGTTTATTAATAGCATATTCGCTAAAATTATAAAAATAGCCATGAATAATAAAATATAAAAACACAAAGTTAACATTTATTTTAATTAAGCTACTACTGTAAAAAAAAAAAATATTTATGTGTTATTGCAATTTTACTGAGACAGCAAAAAAACATTTATGGGTAAATTGAATATTCAAAGTTACCCTGATTGGTTATACTTTAGCTGAGTGGAAATATATCCCTTTTGTAGCAAAAAACGTGTAAGTTCATATTATTTTGAGTTTGTTAAAATTCGACAAATAATTCAATAAAATACAAAAAATCTTACCTAATATTTTCAATATAATACATATATTTTCAATATAATACAAAAATTATTTAACTATTGGAAAACTTCTAGAAATAAAGTAATTAAAAGTAATTTAAAAAAGTAAAATATTCTTGTTGGTTGAAGAACAGGCAAAGAAATTACCAAAGAGAAAAAAAATTAAAAACATTTACAATTTTAATTCAATGTTATCTGCAAATTCAATGTTACCCAGAATGACTGTATGAAAAAGTTAATTATTTAACCGTTCTGCACAGCCTGCTATAAACATAATTAGTTCAGCTTTTAATATTTCTTTTTTAAAAGGAAATAACACCTAAAATACTTTTCCTTAATCAGTTTACATTATTAATTAAAAATATCAGTGTTCTTAATTTAATTCACAGAAATTTTCTCATCTATACTGATATTTGATGGAATAAATGGAATTTACTTATTGTATATTATCTCCATCTTATCACCTTTTTACATTCTTTTTTTAAATACATAAATTAACGGTTTTAAATGTTGATTTTTAAACATTCTAAGTTTTAAAAAAAATAATAATATGATAAAAATTCACAATATTATGAAAAGAAGTAAATTTTTTTCATGAATCAAATAACATTTATGATTAATTTTTTAATACTTGAATAATTTTTACAATACACTATGAAATAAGAAATTTTTCATTACAATATAAAATACAACACAAATTTATATTTATCAAAATTTTTATTATAATTTTAACATAAAGTTGTACTGTAGGTTGTACCAAAAATATAATTTTTTTTTCCTCCAGGATACTCTCATGGTTTTCCTTTTCTCTTAAGTCTCCCCGGAGGCTAAAAACAAATGAAAAAACAAAATTCATTGTCGAAAAGTGATCTGTAAAATTTGAAAAAACTCTATTTTTTGAAAACAAATATATATTACATCAATATTTGATTAATTTATAAGTAAAGTTTTTATACTTATAAAAATAACATGGCAAACTTCTTCAGTCTGTTAAAAAAAAAGTCTGTGGCAAATTTAAAACTTGTTTGATTTTACCACACAATTTTGAGTACATATGTACTACATAGATATTTCTTGTCATGCTTTGTGCGTTTTACATAATAGCTAAAATTAAAATAAGATTTAGAAAATAATCAAATTATTTAATAAATGATTCAATGAATAGATAAAATGTTATATAGTTGAATAATACATAGTATTTACTAATATGGGTTTTCCTCAAAAGAAAAGCACAAATAAAGAGGAACAGAGAATGATGCAAACTAATCCCAGAAGGTTGGTGTTTTTTCTCAATTATCCTATTAACTAGCTGCACATGAACCAGCTCCCTAGCATTGAAAATTTGCTAAGATATATAAAGATAAATTAAGTTTAAATCTATGTTTTTTTGTTGTAGCTTGTTCTCAAAATTTTACAGGTAAAGATTCTTATTTGCAAAGGCAGATCATGTAAAGATCCGAATCATAGATGTGTTCATTCTTTTGTAATGGATGTGTGAAATAAGAATGGTTATAGAGTGCTTCATATTTCTGAAGCAGCTCTTAGGTAACAAATAATATAACTTTTAATTGTAAACAAGTAATAAATCACAAAACAAGCAAATAATAAAATACTAACATAGATAAATGAAATCAATATCTAACTAATTAATAAATATGAGGTGATCATAAGGTTTGATTGGAAAAAGCTACCAGTTGAATAATCCTTGTACAACATTGCAATAGAGACACTGAATTTTGGCAGAAGGGTGTTGACCACAGAGACATTTAACAGAGCAGATTATAAAAATTTCTGAAAACTAGTTGTCTTCTAATGATAGGAGATCAGACTACTGCTGTTTGCATGTTTTAGATATATGCTAACTTAGGCATTTTAAAAATGTTAATAAAAACAAAAATTAAAAAAATAACTTATCTAAAAAAGAAAGTTTTAAACTAAAAGAAAATTAAAAAAATTAAACTTGAAAAACTAAAATTCTTAAAAAACATAACAACTTTTATATTACATTTTTTTTAATGTAAAATAAAAAAGTATTTTAAAGCGTTAAAAATTTTTAAAAAAGGTTTTTATATAAAACCCTCTTTAAAATTAATTTTGTAAATTTTAATTAAAAATTGTAAAAATTAATTTTTTAAATTAATTTTTATTTTATTAAATAAAGTAACAAATTATTTCTAATTATTGCTTACAATAAACCTATTTTATTTAAACTATTCAAGATTATATGTAATTTTATTTATATTAAAATGTATTTTTTATAATAAATAATATTTTTAAACTTTTTTTATGATCTAATATTATAAACAACTTTTAATAACGAAAAAACTTTAGCCCAAAAACTAACGTTACACATAACATCTCTCAAATTAGTGTAATAAAACGTTACACATAACATAACTCAAAATAGTGTAATAAAAAGCGCTGGATTCTATAAGCATTAAAATAACTATTATGTTAAGATTTTTGTAAAAATAATTTAAAAAGGTGTTTTAAAAAATAATATTTGAATTTATAAAAACTATTGAACAGAAAATTAAATAAATATCTAAGTATAAATATTTTAAATATTTTTTTCAATCTAAGCCTAGGTACCAAGTAAAATAGGGTGAAATAGAAAGGGGATAGAATGAAATAGAGGATATAATTAAACAGTTAAAACAATGTTTTATTGTTTATATATAAACATGAATAGGTTTTTTTTGATTAATTTTAATTGTTATTTCAAACAAATTAAAAACAGCAAAACAAAAGCTTTATAATATATTCTTTATTTATTTGAATTCTAAAAAAAAAATTTATTTTTAAATTTCTATTTAAATTTTAAACAAAGTAAATTAGATAAAAACAAAATCACGAACATTTTATTTAAATTCTAAATAAAATAGTTAAAATAAAAAAAATAGAAAAAAGAACTTTTTATTTACTTAACGTTTGATTCTAATTAAAATAAAACAAAAAGATAAATAAAAACAACCAAACAAACATTTTGTTTAAATTCTAAACAAATTAATTAAGAAAAACGTAACATCAAAAAAATGCTTTCAGTTCTCAATAAAATAATTTAAAGTTAAATAAAAAAAATTAATGTTTTATTTAAATTCCTTTAAAAATAAAAATTTAAATTCCTTATAAAGTAAAAAAGAAAAAAAAAAATTGGCAAAATTAATGTTTATGGAAAATTGCTGTTTGTTTTTCAAATGTTTAAGCAAATGTTTAAAAAAATAAGTTGGCAAAGTTACGTTATGTGTAATGTTTTATTACACTAATTTGAGTGATGTTATGTGTAACGTTAGTTTTTGGGCTAAAGTTTTTCGTTATTAAAAGTTGTTTATAAAATTAGATCATAAAAAAAGTTTAAAAATATTATTTATTATAAAAAATACATTATAATATAAATAAAATTATATATAATCTTGAATAATTTAAATAAAATAGGTTTATTGTAAGCAATCATTAGAAATAATTTGTTACTTTATTTAATAAAATAAAAAATTAATTTTTACAATTTTTAATTAAAATTTACAAAATTAATTTTAAAGAGGGTTTTGTATAAAAACCTTTTTTAAAAATTTTTAACACTTTAAAATACTTTTTTATTTTACATTTAAAAAAACATAATATAAAAGTTGTTACATTTTTGTTTTTCTGTCAGTTTTATGCTAAATGCTCGGATGTTTGTCAATTTGTTGAACCTTTTTTCTACATTTTGTGCATTCTTAAAATAGAGAAAGCAATATTTTGCCAACCTTTTTTTTTTTTTTTAATTGTGATGCCTAAAATTTTTGTCTATGCCAGTAGATTCGAAAGAAAAAAAAAAAGGTTTATAAAATGTGTCCTACTGGTAAATCAGTCACTGAAAGAGAATTCAGATCTTTAATAACATTTGATAAATTTTTTTTTTGATATTTATTCTCATGAAATATTTTTTCATTTGTTGATTTTTTGGTTTGACCAAAATGCAGTAACTATGGTTTCAGGTTATGCCGCTAACAAAATTGATAATGTTCTTTCATGTAGAAAATTTTCTTGTTTTAACAGATTACAGATGATATGGTGACAGACCAGTAGTTTTTATTTTCAAATCTAAACCATAACTTTTTCAAATCATCATCTTTTGGGTGACTACTTCACCACCAATATAGTTAAAAGTTCAACCAGCAACACAACATTTATTATCCATAAATTTATAACAAAAAAGTATAAAATGTATACAATTAAGTAAAAAATATAAGTAAAAATTTGAAAGGTTCTACCAAACACAAAATTCAGATCCTGTACTAGATTTATTGAATCCAAATTTTAAACAATTAAAATATTTTAAGAAAGTTTGTAAATGCTACATAAACATAATAAATGTTTTTATATAAAAACTTAATATTATATAAAAAATTATTTAAAAACAGTTTAATTTTTTTTTTTCAAGTTATATAATGAAAATAAGTAGTTACATTACTATAATGAAAATAAATAATAACTACATTAGTATAATGAAAATAAATAATAACATCAGTATGATGAAAATAAATAATAATTACCTTAGTATAATGAAAATAAATAATAACTACATTAGTATAATGAAAATAAATAATAACATCAGTATGATAAAAATAAATAATAATTACCTTAGTATAATGAAAATAAGTAGTAACTGCATTAGTATAATGAAAATAAATAGTAACTACATTGTATAATGAAAATAAATAGTAACATCAGTATGATGAAACTAAATAATAATTACCTTAGTATAATGAAAATAAGTAGTAACATTAATTTTGTAATTAATTAGAGGTAAAATGCGTCCAGGAACGTTTCGTGGGGCTCCAATAGGTGTTTATGGATCAATGCGTCCAGGTATAATGGGACCTGGTGGAAATGGACTCAATCGAGGTGCTTCCAATAAAATTATGGTTACTCATCTTTCATTTGATCCATTAATGGCTGATTCTCAATTTAGCAGAGCTACAGAAAAATTTGAAGACACGCAATTAAGTGAAGCTTTAGTAAAAAAAATTCAAGAACTAACACCATCAACTGCTGAACAAAGCTCTGTACAAAATTTAGTTTCTAAGGTATTGCTATATATTGCTATTTTTATATTTATTCTGTGTGTGTTTATGTGTGTTTTTATGTGTATTTATTCTGTGTGTGTTTATGTGTGTATGTATCACTAAATTCAAATTTATCTGTGCATGAAAAATAAGCAGTATCTGCCATGGTTGTGGTTTAATACATATTTGTATTTGGCTATATTGTTGTATTATATCTGATTGAAATGTATTTGTTGTTACATAAACTAGGTTTAGTGGTGTTTTTTTAAGAGAAATTATAAGATTCAGTTTTTTTTTTTTTTTTTTTTTTTTTGTTATTGTAAAAAATAAGCTTTTTCATTATTAATACTAAAATAATTTGTTTTTAGGTGATTTTTGATAAGACTTGTTTTTATACTTCTATTCTATATCAAAATGCAGTTTAAAAAAAATATAAACATTGATTTTTTTTTTTTTTTTTTCAACTCTACGCAGTTGTAGCAGTCCAGATAAAAACTTTCCTATATTTTATCTTAATTGGTTTTAGTGTTATGTATTGACATAGTAAACATTATTTTTTTATATTTATCATATTTAATTACTTTTATTAAATATTTGATAAGGCTTGAATTAAGTGATTGTGAATAGCAATATCCGGAAATAATTCTGGTGATTAAATTCTTAGTTTATTAAAAACCGTGAACACTGTTTTAATGAAACAGTCAATTTATCATATTGCAAAAATTAATGTAAAAGCAAAATAATAATATACTACTGCAAGAATGATAACAGTCAAAACTTTTTAATTATTGTTTTTTTTAATACCAGGTAATTTAAAGATTATAAATAAATAATAAAGTTGGAAGACAAAAATTTTATTATTATTTTTTTTTTATTACTTAAAATCCCAAAAATTTGCAAAGTAATTTAAAAATCAACCAATAAAAAATTATGTTAAAGCTTATTGCGCATTGTATGAAACATTAATATAGATTTTTGTTTTAAAGGGATCCCAAACTTTCGACACATGTTGTGTTCATATTAAAGATAATGTTAAAAAAAAAGGTTTGAACCAAGTTTTTTTGATTAAAAATAAATAATAAATGCTTACCGTGAAAAACAATTGTTGTTTTTGCCGAAGCTGGCCTTCTCCATTTTTTTCAATAAATCCGAGTCTTCAAATTATGCGTCGCAATCTACAGACTTTGGCAATTCCTTTGACTTAGACTTTTAACAAAAGAAACTCTGGAAATATTTTTATTTATTTTTAGTCGAAGTTTTTTTGGTTATTTGTTTAGTTTTTTTTTTTTTTCTACTTTTAATATTTAAAAAGATATTAAAAACCTTAAATATTTTATGCTGGTTCGTTGCTATAAATTGTTATTGCGCTATATATTTAATGTTTATAAATTATGATCATTTATTATCTAAACATCGTTTCTTTATTATATTGCAACTGTAAATATTGAAATATTAACTTGAACTAAATTTACTTATTATTTAGAACGATTAAGCAATAAAAATAAAAAGCCCCTAAAATTATGCGATATTGTGTTGTTTATTTGATAATTGCTGTTGGTAATGCTGTTTATGTTGATTATTTTCATTAATATCAAAATAGTCCCAGATTAATCTGTTAGTTGCTTTGTTCATTGTTGCTTTATTTCTAATTTAATTTTATCTCTAAGTATAAATTTATGTTAAGAAAGAAAAGTTTTTATTTCATCGCTCGCTCTTTTTAAAAGAGTAGAACTAAAGTTTCGCGTAATTAAACTTCGAATGAATAAAAGAGTTGTATAGAATTTTTTTTTTTTTTCTAAATTGCGTCACTCGTTCTTTTTTTAGATGAGAGAAATAAAAGTTTAATAGTAACTTTTCTTTGAATAAATGAAAATTGGAAGAGAAAATTGCTTGAAAATTTGTATTTGTTGTGTTTTAAAATTTTTCATGTTAGGAGACAAATGCCAAATACGATACAAATTGTGAAATACCTAATATAATATGTTTTTTAACGCGCGTTATGACATTTTAACAATTTAAATTACCATTTATCTTGAATTATTGCCATTAATTAATGTGTTAATTATTGCGTTATATAAAAATAGTTTGTCCGTATTTTTGTTAAATATTAGTTGTATAAAACGGGCGAAAATATACAAACTTCATGTTTTTATTTGATGGTTATAAAATATTGAACAGTAAACTAATACTCAAAATTTATAATGCCGACTTGTGTTGTTATTAATTGTACTTTTAATGCAAAACCAAGATCTCACAAATCCTTTCACGAATTTGCATATCTGATACTACTGTCAACTGTATTGTTTAGTGTATTCTTGAATTTTTTTTCATAACCTTAACAGGTTCTAATTGGTATGGAGTTGCCGACATTTTAAAAGTTTCATTATCAAAAATCAAATGTCAAATAAAATGATATTTCCTTTTTATCTGTATCCAATTTAGCAAATTTAGCAATTTAAAATAAATTAGCGTAATCAAAAAATTTTATAATAAAAAAAGTTAAAAATTCATCATATCTCTAATTAATACTGTCAGTTTATGAAATTAATTGTTAATACTTTTTTTCGACGGGAAAAGAAAAAATATCATAGCATAAAAATAATCAGAGAAGTTAGAAAAAGTTCAGATTGTTTAAATAAAAATAAGTAAGATTCAGAATATATAATACTGCATTCTTTTGCACAAAAACGAGAGACCGTATACATAATGTTCTATATAATGTAAAACACTTGTATGAAAATCATAAGATTCGTAAGTAAAGCTTTAATATTTGTTTTCATTTAAAAACAAAAGAAATATAAGTAAGATATATAAATCGAAAAATTATTAAGATATCTGTAAAAAACAAGTTGCTCCTATAAAATAAAAATAATTTATCATTTTTTTTTTTTTTACAAATTTTTTTTTGCGATGTTTAGAAAAATAATACAAATAAATTTGTTTTGCTGTATATTAAAAAAATACTACAGTAGAAAAACGCAGCTTAGTTTAATTACACTTTTCTTTTGTTAAAAGTCTACCGTGATGTCAAATGCTAAAACTTTTATGAATTAAACGCGCTTCAAAGGAATAGCCAAAGTCTGTAGATTGCAACGCATAATTTGAAGACTCCGATTTATTGAAAAAAATGGAGAAGGAGAGCTTCGGCAAAAAGAACAACATTTGTTTTTCACGGTATGCATTCATTATTTATTTTTAATCAAAAAAACTTGGTTCAAACCTTTTTTTTTAACATTATCTTTAATGAACACAACATGTGTCGGGAGTTTGGGATCCCTTTAAGGGTAAAGTTTAAAGAACTATTTATTTGAATTAAACTATTTATTTAGTTTTTAATTAATTTTTAATGAAAATAATAAAAAATACATATTTTAAAATAATTTATTAGAGTTTTTTTGTTTTGTTTTAAAATAACTAAAAAAGTTTAAATTAGTTTTTTAATACATTTTTAAACTCTTCTGTCTTTTAATTTTGTATACATATCTGCGAAAGAGTTACTGGCATTTAATTTATAAGAAAGTATTAAATAAGATTTAAATAAGATATAAAAGCATTTTACATCTTATTTAATGATTTCTTTTAGCAGTAATCAAATATTTTTCCAAAATATTTGATTGCTGCTAAATTCCTTTAGACTGTTGTGATTAGCAACTTTAGGAATTATAAATCCCTTTAGATTGTTGCGATTACTATTTTTTCATAAACATTTACTTTTTTTCTCTATTAATAAAATTAAAAATTCTTGTACAAACTACCACTGCTTTTTTTTATTTTGCTTAAACTCTTATATATATGAAATTAATTTAAATTAAATAAAATGGGTCCCTAATATCATTAAAAAAGAAGATCTTTAAAATAGATTAATCTTGGACAATTGAGTTTAAATTAGGCTAAAATTATTCACAAAAGATAACCACAGCACATGAAAAACACTGAGTTGTAATTTTTATTTAAGGGGGTTCTAAAGACACCTTAATATATATATATATATATATATATATATATATATATATATATATATATATATATATATATATATATATATATATATATATATATATATATATATATATATATATATATATATATATATATATAGAATGAAAAAGTTTGTCTTTAAATTAATGAGTGATTACCTATTATTTTTCATGTTGGTAATTATTTTTGATTAAGCTGGTCATACAGTGGGTAGAAATAAAACCTTAGTCATCCATTTATTTAAACCTACAAACTAAAGCAAAAATAAAAAAATGGAAAAAATTATATGTTTTCTTTTGCCATAATATGTCTAAAAATGGACCCTAAATGACAAGGCATGTTGAAAAATGTTGAGAGTGTCCTGATGAAGTAAAATATCTATATGTAAAAAATGCAAATAAAAATGAGAAATTATGAATAAATAAATTACGAAACATCAGAGGAAGGTGGTCTTGGTTTGGAAGGTCTAAAATCAAAAAGCCACATTAATGTAATAACACCAGCACAATACTACTGCAAAATAGTTTTTAACTTAAAATCCTATAATATTTATGATTGAATTTAAAGCTGCTCCTGCTGCTGTTGCTACCATTACTTGTTCGTGCATGTTTGCACAGAACTCATGGCAGCCATTACATCTGAGTTAATGGCAAGAAATAGTCACAGCACTTTTTGTATAATTTTTTGTATAAATGTGAACCAAAGTGTAAATATCTAACTTATGTAAACTTCAAATTATGTAATCTTTATTTTAAAATTGCATTGAATAAAAAAGCAAAAAAAAATTTTGCCGATTGCCATGACCCTCTTGTAACTTTTTAAACAGCTGAAATAACTTTTTAATTGACGACTATCAATAAAAACACTCTATATTGTTTGGAAAGTTTTTGAATATTTATTTTTTTGAAATACCTAAAGATTTTAAAACTAAAAGTTTTAAAATACTTTAAAAAATATTTAGAACTTTTTTACATAGATATTTGTATTTTCATTCATCTAATATACTATAGTAATTTTTATGATGAAATAAATTTTTATGAGTA